CCCTGAGGCTACACAAGCCCCAGCTGGAGTGAAGGCTGCAAAGCCAAGAGAAACATCCATGTGCTGAACACCCACCCCCCTGACCGGAGCAGGGTCAAGAACAGAGCACCCAAAGTTACATCCTCCCCTCAGAAAAGAAGGCCAGGTCCTTTGTATCCTTTCTGAAATCCCCACTTAGAAAGATCTTGAGAAAATTTTTTGCTTAGCATGAATAGCATCAAAAGCCTTTAAACAACTTCTGTCCAGCTTCTGAAAATATAATTTTGAAGCAAAAAGGTAGGAGAGATCTCTCACTTTCTTGCAGAGGAAATTTTGTAATAACATGGATATCTCAAATATTATAGGCAGTCCAAAGACATAACTTTAATTCACAGAATCACAGAACGTTTAGGCATTGGAATGGACCTTAAATATCATCTGCTCCCAAATCCCCCCTGCCGTGGGCAGGGACACCTCCCACCAGCCCAGGCTGCTCCAGCCTGGCTTTGAACACTGCCAGGGTTCCAGCCAGCACAAAGGGTTTAAAACTGGGCAATGGAAGTTTACCTCCAACTTATCCCGAGGAATTTAATTAAAAAATAAGACTTATCAGGAGGAAAAGAAAAAAAAAAAGAAAATAAAATAAAAAAGCAAACAGTAGCAAAAATAAAGATCAGATGATTTACTGAAGGATAGATGGTGTGAGCAATTCACCTGTCCAAGAGCATGGTCTGAGAACTAAAGACATTTGGAAAGGCAATTCCTTTTCAAACTGTCCATCAGATTTTGTAGCTAATAAGCTGAATATGAGAAGTTAAACTGCTCGACGAGTCTATTAATACAACAAAAATGCCCAAGGCTATTTTAATAGAACAAAGTGTGGGCGAATCTATTTTACTTGCAACAGTGAAAATTTCTAAGCAGCTGAAACTGAGTGAGCAGACAGCAGAAGGCACAGATGAGACAACACAAAATCCAAGCATCCAGGACTATTATGGATTCATGTGACTCAATGCTGGTAGCAGGAAACAGAGAGAAGACAAAGCAAGCCCATCATACACATAATTCTCTCATTTATGGGAGATTACTGAGTTCCATCAGTCAAGTAGGAATTATTGCTGGCTGGCTTGGAAACTTAGAGTTGGCAATGTATTAAATGGATCTTGGCAAGTAAAACTGTTGGGCTTTCAAATGGGACAAATCTTTCCTTTCTGACAGAACTGCTCTGTTCCACTTCCTTTGGTTTTCCTGCTGGCTGAAAGGATGGGAACGTCACCCCCACCCAGGAGGCGGCCCCTCAGCACAAGTTCTGTATACATTCTATTTTTCAGTGAAAAACACCCACAAACACCAGTTACAAAAAGCATAAACCCACCCCACTGAAGAGATACAGCAGCATCCAGTGCCCCGGGCATGGCAGTGTCAGCTCATCCCCCAGCACAGGGCTCTGGGGAGGGACAGGACCAGGGGGGACAGTCAGAGCCAGCACTGCTGATGCTGCAGAGCCACCTGGACAGCTCTGGCTGCAGCCACTTCTCCAGCCAGACTGAAACCCAGCATTCTAAACGGGCAAACAGGAGGCTCTTGCTCGTCACCCTTCTCAAACCTTGTATTCCATCCCCGGAAAAACCTCAGAAAACTTCCAGTACTTTCAGAGGATGCAGAAATCAGAAAAGAGATTCTTCCCCAGAATTATACAGAATAAAGCAGAAGAGAGCTGAACTTTCCATCTGCATTTTAGAGCAGATTTGATGTCAAAAGTCAGAGGAAATTTTTTACAGATATATATATAAATAAATTTTAAAAATAACAAAATTTCTCTACTGTAGCACCTATCTCTGCTCAGTGTATTATATAAACCAGATATTTTAACATACAGACATTTAATTAAAACCACTTTTTTCTTGAGTTCTGACTGCATATCTTATTCAAGTTTTGCTCACCCTACTGTAAAATGTTATCCTAGATTCAAATCTCTAAATTTACTGTTTTATATATGTTGTCAGATCACTAATATCCTCTTGCAAGTCATCTTAACTACCAACATAGCAATTTTCCCTGTAATGACTCTTCATTAAAGACTATATGTTTACAATTTTCTACCATTTAGGTGATTTAAGTATATCATCTATTGAATGTCCTGATCTTGGCAGCAAAGAATTTTCTTGCCAGATGGAATATGAAAATAACATGAAAGAAAACATTTTCCCAAAGCACAGATAGCTGGCAGATATCCCTCAGAAACAAAAATCCTCCTTAACCTAAAAGTAGCCAGTCTGTCATGTTCTCTGTAAAAAAATGGTCAAGAATTCAGCTCTGCCTTTCCCCAGTGCCTGCAGCATGCCCAGGGCAGCTGTGAGGACAACATGCCAACCACAGAGATGTCCACAGCCATTATCAGCCACTGCTCTCTTCCCTCCCCTCTTTCAGTGACAGCACAATCCAGGTGCTTCCCAAAGTGCCTCCTGGTCCTTCCTGGAATTTACCTTCACAATGTCAGATCTGATCAGATGTGACATGAATACCATGTATGGGCTCACAAAACCAAAAAGAACAATGTTCAGGGATCACTGCTTGTGTATGAAATAGAGATTAAACTATAGGGACATAAAAGAATGGGCTGGTTACATTTATATTAATAAGATCCCCTGCAGTTCCATGCATTTGGTCACAGCAATCAGGGTAAATGCAGCCAAATTCACAGTAACACACGTGTGTGTGTGCATGTGATATATGGACACACTTGGTTATCAACAGAGGCACAGGGAGGTAAAAAAATTTAAGACTGATACTTAAAGGAACCTCACTTTAGTAGAACACATCTCAAAGTAAGAATATGTGACTGCGAGTGTAAGCAAAGGTAAATTACAAAGCAAGAGTAGCAGTGATTTTCAGAACAATAATAATGTCTGGGATTCTCTAGCTGATATGTGGAAAACACAATTAAGCAGGCATTTTTAAGATATGTGGAAATTATTACTAAGCAGGCATTAAATATATCAGTACTGTGGACACTTGAAATGACATTAACTCTCAATTGGATTTAGATGAAATAGATAGAAAAAGCTATTTAATGCTATAAAACTGAAACCTTACTATTAGACTCAGATCACTGATTGCTACACGGTCCAGTGAAGGCAAAGGCAGAATATGATCCCTCACACCATCCTGTCGTGGTACCACCAGTGCATCTGCCCCATCCAGCCCACGGTTTCAAAGATATTTCAGCCAGAAAGCCTCTCTCACCTATTCAGCTGAGGAGGAGGAAGAGAAGGGATCCTCTAACATTCCATCACAAAAGGATGACCGTGGATCATCCATGGATCATTAATGATTAGGACACAAAAGAAGGGGTTTCCTTGCCATGTCCTCATCTCTGAGGTGTCTGTCCATGTGCCACAGTCTGCACCACAACACTCTGACTGTCTAAGAAACAAGAGGGGTTGTTCCCTCTTGCTCTGCAGTTCCAGGAGGGCTGGAGCCAATGCAGTCCCTGATCCTGGGGATGGCCAGGGGGGCCCAGGGGATGCTCGTCCTGCACTGCCCTCAGAGCACAGCTCATTTCAGCACAGCCAAGGAACAATGGCAGAGTTCCCATCCCTCTCAGGGCAAAGACAACACTTGAGATGTACCCAGCAGAGTCTTACAGGGATAATCCCAAACATGACATTGCTAGATATACCAGAGGACTAGAAAATTATTTCCTGATTGGAAAACAAAATTGTCTAAAGATCTTTAACTTTGGGCTGTGCAAAAGTTCTACAATAGAAAAAAACCCAAACCAACCAAACACGTGGAATTACTATAAAACCATTTTGGATACCATATTGTGATTGAAAGTATTGAAGAAAATAACCCTGGGTAATAAAGGATCCAAGCAGTAATAATGTTTCCTCTAATTACATTAAACAGCTTTAACTAAAAAATAGACACCATTTCACTTTATCACATCTCATAAAAGATATTAAAACTGATTTGCTATTTATGTTTAATGAAAAGGAGGAAATGTTTCATCTATTTCTAATTTATTCTGAAAAATAAAGATTATGATTTCATAGTCTTAAATTGAAAGTTGGGCTGAATCCATTGTTATTCTTGCTCTCACTGCAGTAACACAGATGTGTGGTACGAAGGTGGTTTATATTTCACTTTAAACTACAACTCTGCTTCCAGGCTCCACTGAACAACAACCAACTCCAGACCTGCTCCAAGCCATAGTGCCAAAGCCTCCTGCTCCCACAGGAACCACACCTGGGCACGACACAAATGGCAAATCCAAGCAGCAGCTCTGCATTTGCCATTGTTAACCCAAACAGTGCCTGCCCCCTGTTTTGTCACCTCCCCAGCCAGGTTCTCAGTCACCTCTGGCAGCAAGATTTTTAAATCACTTTCTGGGTAATTGTTTTTCCTCCAAACATTGCTAACCAGACATCTGCCCCAGCTTTCAGACCTCCTCAAGAGTGAAGCTCTCCTGCTGCTTTCTCCAGTCCCCACTCTCCAAACAGGCACACACAACAAGAAGAACATTTCAAGTCACACCTCTTAGGGAAAATCAGAAAGCTGGTTCATACAAACCAATACAATATTTAAACAAAAATACTTATAAAATATATCAGTTAAACTACCAATTCATCTAGCATATACATTTTCCATTTTTTCCTCTAATCCTCATTTTGTATTTTCTATTTCAATTCCTTTGAGGAAGCAATTCCAAACCAGGCTTTTAATCCTGAATTAGTATTTCAAATGATATTTACAGTCTTATCTGTTCTTAATACAAGTGTCTGAACTGTACTAAAAATGGCATTTTATCTCCATAATTGTACTGAAAAAAAAAAGAAAAATTTATCTGTCCTTAGAATACTTAATTTAATTTTTTTTTTCTGGAATATCATCAGTTATACAGAATACAGCAATAAAAAGAATGGCATTAAGAAAGGCAAGGAATGGGGTTTATTTTTAGGCTTTTAATCATGGTTTTAAATTAAGAGCCAGAAGAGTTAGAAATGGTTCACACTGACCTGAGTCCATAAAGGACTGTTCCATCTGGATGCAAACGAATCATTCTGTTCTTCACAGTGACCCCATGGACAAAGGACTTCTTGTCATTGAGGAAATAGGTGTCTGGCACCCACAGCTGGTCAGCTACTCTGTTGTCCAGAGTCAGGTTCAGAGGGATCACATTGTAGGACAGCCTCTTATCCCTCCACGCTTGCTGAAAGTACATTGTCAAGGTATAGTCCTGGGATTACAAAAACAAACAAAAATGGCATTGAAACAGATGGCACACATATGCAAACCTGACAATGCAAACACACATGTACTCACTGGAACTGTTCTTAAAGGCAAACACTTCTGCTCACCATTTCCATAAGTAGATTTATTTATTTTTACAATACTGAACATCTTGTACATGCTTAATAACAGCAAGGAGGACACAGACGATGAGGCATTCACGTTTTATGGAAGTCTCACTTCAATATTTAAAAATAAAATGGAAAAAAATGTAGAATTTAACAGTCTGCAAATCTCTGCAGCACTTTACAAGCCTGGGAGTTCTAGGAAACAGGAACATTCACAGATCCAAATTTCACCTCAAGGTCTCTGTATTCAGGAGCTTTGAGCAGGCCTTCTGTCCCTGAAGCTGCAGTTACCACCCAAACACTTCTCTAAATTAAAAGCTCTTCAAAGTCTGTTAACTTTCCCCTGGGCACTGAAACCAAGGGAAGCCTCTGAGGTTCCTGTGCTAAAGACTCTCCGTCTTCCACTCAATTTTACAGATGAAGTAACTCTGCTTACTTGGCTGAAGAATTCCGAGAGCACAATTAGTGTGTTGGTGAATATTCACACTATCATAAGACTGGCATGGTGTTGCTGCAAGCCACTGCTGGACACTTTGTCCCAGCTGCTTTGACCTTTTGGTGTTTTAAAGATCAATATACTTACAAAGCTTGTAATCTTTGTAGAAACTCTTATACAGAGGCAGAATATTCATTATATATTAGCCTATATTAAAAAAACTCCATAAATAATGCACAAAGAATATCAAGAGCAGCCCTGAGGAAAAGACTTGGGGATGTTGGGGGATGAGAAGCTCACCATGACCCAGCAAAGTGCACTCACAGCCCAGAAAGCCAACTGTGTCCCCCAGCAAATCCGGGGGGAATTCTTCCTCTCTGCTCCATCCTCCTGAGACCCCACCTGGAGTTCTGCATCCAGAGCTGGGATCCCCAACATCAGGCCGTGGAGCTGCTGGAGCGAGTCCAGAGGAGGCCATGAGGATGATCAGAGAGAGGGCTGGAGCCCCTCTGCTCTGGGGAGAAGAGAGGGGTCCAGGGAGAGCTGAGAGCCCCTTCCAGGGCCTAAAGGGGCTCCAGGAGAGCTGGAGAGGGACTGGGGACAAGGGATGGAGGGACAGGACACAGGGAATGGCTTCCTACTGCCAGAGGGCAGGGATGGATGGAATATTGGGAAGGAATTCCTGGCTGTGAGGCCCTGGCACAGGTTGCCCAGAGAAGATGTGGCTGCCCCTCTCCTGGAAGTGTCCAAGGCCAGGTTGGATGGGGCTTGGAGCAGCCTGGGGTAGTGGGAGGTGTCCCTGCCTTGGACAGACACACTGACTTTCTTCTACTACTGAAGAGAGGTGGGATTCATCCTCCTTAACTTCTTGAAAAAGAACATCAAAATCAGAAATAACTTTCATACTAATGTCTGAGTACCCAGAGAACTATTTTTCCTTTCTTTACTAATTTAACTTTTAATGCATAACTGACGTTGCTGTAATTATTCACTTTAAAATGCACACAGTCCACCCTTGAACACATGCACGAGGGAGGCCTGGGAGAACTCTGGTGTTCCAGCAGAGCTCTCTGAGCAGTGACACAGCACCTGGAAACTAACTGACCCCCCTGTTCTGCACAACAGTGTGCACTCAGATGGATCAGTATAAACTGGGGGTTTTATAGAAATGTGCATTTCAGTGGTGGAAACACTCTTAGTTTTCGAAGCATCTTTCCCCAGAAGAGCCCATGTACACGGCCTTCAAAATGCCTCTTCAGTTTTCACTGCAGCAGGGAGAAATCCATGTTCTGCTGGGACAGTTATGGCATTTTTTCCTTATCAACACAAAGCATGGGTGGCAATGCTGCCCCTCCAGTCCTCCTGCCTGCAGTGGTTAAAGGGCAGTCCCCTCCATGTGCTGATGGAGCCTGTACCCCCCGGGCACAGCTCTGCTCCTCCTGCCAGGGGCACAGACGGGGACAAAGCTGGGCTGTCACCAGGAGTTAAACACCAAATAACTCTTCCCAACTGTTGTACTACCAAATACATTCACCTGGTAACTATTCTATAATCTGGTCAGTTTTAACAATCTGAAATCTCTTCCCCTTCCCATCTCCCCAGGATCAGGATGAGATTCTGCTTGCAAGAACATTCCACCTACATCCGAAGGGTTTTGCTGTTCTGCTTCATCACTGTTCTGCAGGATTTGATTCATATCCAGATATCAGAAAAGCTTCAGTAATATACTGGCACTAAGAAAACTTATTAGTCTTTATTATGCTAATATGTCACGACATAAAGTAGATGAGCTGTAGCAGTTGTTCCCCTATTATGCTTGGAATGCTGTACTTTATTCCTATGCTAAGGAATAACCCACATGTATTAATATATAGCATATATATAGAACATGCTTCCCTCTTTACACCTCAGTAAAAGGAAGAGAAGAGGAGGAAGCAAACTAAACATGCATGGTTCAGTGCATAGAAAGGAATTACATAAAAGTGTAAATCTGGAGCACTGGCATAGCTCAAAGGAAAGCCAAGTCACCAGGCTGGAGTTCAAAATCAAACACACTGTGTTCCAGAAAGAGCTGGTGTTCCAACTAAAAATTATCTGTCATCTGTTGGCCCTAGTTTTCAGATGTGACTGGAGTTTCTGATGGTCAAAACAGAACACCTTAACTAAATTTTTATAAACCCCTCACAACCACAAAAGAAGCAGAGGAATAGAAGTAAAGGATGATTTTAATTTGTTAAGGCTTTAGCATCCTATTGAATTCACAGGATGGGACTGTTAGAAACTTAGTGTAAGTTTGAAGATGAAACAGGAGCGAATTCATCTTCAAAGCCTAACACAAGGGAGTAATTCCAATGAGCTGAAAGGAATACAAACCCCAACCTCCTGATGTGTCTGTGTACACCACTGCACACATGAACTGCAGAGGTACAGCCTGTTTCCAGTACAGCAGAGACACACTGTACCCACAGAAATAAAGAGGTCCCTCAGCTGCCCTGGCCACATGAGGCTTGAAATGCTGTCACAATTGTATTAATATTGACAAAGCTGAAAGCAAACCTAGAATTTAAATCAGCAAACACTATATTTTCTGTAAATACACAAATAATATCCATTTTATCTCTTTCATTATTACTCCATTGTTCACCTAGATTTAAATTTAATAAACTTTTTTTATTCTGTCTAGAGCAAATTTTAGGCAGCAGAAAATGGATCATTACTCCTATTCTATCCTGATCCAAGAAAAGATCTCTCCTCAACAGGTAAAATTCATCTCCCCAGTTTTCATCTTCTTTACTTCACACAACAAACAGAAGGGCAGCAAATATGAGACCAAGTTAATCTAATGCATAATTTCCCATATGAATAAAAAAGTATCCAACAGTTTCATTGGTATCACCATATTTAGGAGTAAGTTCTATCCTGAATGTTAACTGTGTGGTGGTTGCCTGCAAACACTTTTAGCTGCTGGAAATGCAAACAAGCTGAGATATTTAAACTTAAATTTAGATAAACAGAATTGTTGCAGATAGCCAAGGCATCAGTGAATGACCATCTATTTCAATGACATAAGGGAAGATACTGTGCAGAAAAGCATCAAATCTGAACACTGGCATTCTTATTTAGACTCACATTGCACTGATGCTCTCAAATAACTTTTCTTAAGCAAAAAAAAAACAAAACAAACCAACAATCAGCTTGGGCCTAAAAAATAAGCAGGAGGAGTATATAATATACAAAGTATATAATATACATTTTGTATTTTATAAATACAATATATAACAACATGGAGTTGAAGAAGCATTTATCTTTGCTTCTCAGTAATGAATGGAGAACTCATCTGTGGTTTGGTTTAAGTCTCCTGGTTATTCCCAACTTGTAAAAGTATTTTACTACATTTCCAAGTACAGCAATTTTAAAGTGGAATCATTTCCTTCTGAAGATGCTCAAAGCTGAAGGTTTTGCCTGAACACTACATTTATTTAATATGTACATTTAAGAAGCTGTTTGTTGCTGACATATTTAGAAGTGCCATTTCGTAAAATATTAAGAGCATACATCCACACTGCAAAATGTATTTTAATACTATAAAAGCTAGTATATACTTGAGAAGAAAGGAGCAAATGTTAATTCTCTTCCTGCCCAGCCTCAAATGCAGTTATCAGTGACATGTGCTGTTCCTACAAGGAAAGCACACAGGGTGTTTCACTGTCAGTGGTCTATAAAACAATACAAAACAAAGCACTTCAAGCTAAAGGACCTTCAGTGTATTTATTTCAAAAGCAGTGTCTTTCCCTGAGTGCTGATTCACAGTCCTTTCAATCCTCATTTTGTTTAAAACCAAACACTACAACAGGTTCAATTCCTAATTCTCAGTCCTCTCAAGAAGAATGTAAAAGCTCCACTCTGTTAACACTGGACACACCACAAGGTGACTCACACAGAAGCAGAAAGAACTCTTCAAAGAATGGGTGATACCAAAGAAGTGTCAAAATAAATTGTCATGTGCCCTTTCAAAAAACGTACATCAGGAACCTTACACAGAGTTCAAGCTGAACTTCCTCAATCTGTCGAGTCCCCGTTCCCAGACTGGCTTCAAATCCATGCAACACTTGTAGTTAAGTGTGTCCCCTAAATCTTACAAGGGGGGTTTTCTTGATGGGAATTGTATCTTCCAAAGTCTATCATCTTCCCAAAAAGAAAAGATCCCAACAAGCAAAGTTACCATTTATTCTGCTGCAACTACCCCACAATCAGGCACCAGCAATTCTCATTTGCCAGCTGAACAGCAGAGCAAAGCTGGGCTGTGTATGTCCCACATCAGCTCTCAGACCAACCCAGTACTACTGACTCAAGCCAGAGACCTGGGCACCAAAGCCAAAGGACTGGCAGCAGAGCTGGACTGCAGCAGAAACCTTCTCACTGCTGGTTCTGTGAGGGCTGCAG